GTCGCCCTTGGCGTCAGTGTTGGTGTGGTGCATCATTCCATGCAGTCGAAGGTTCCTCGCGAGAGCAAAGCAGTGGCGGTAGTAGTCGTACCACGTGCATCGGACAAGATACAAGGCAAGCACGCTGCGCGCCACGAGCTTCGTGACGAGCCACGCCGTCGAGGCAGAGGCGCGATGAATGCCAATGTAATAGTCGACAGTGTCGTTGCCTAGTTGAGTCCAGAGCACACCATAAAAGATGGGGATGTTGAGCAGCCGTGCGGATGCTGCCAGTGGCACGTGCACCGATGCATTGTCGGCAAAGGCCGGCGCAAATGTCGTCTGGTCGTTGGTGTAGATGACATAGTATGGGAGATCGACGGCGACGAGGCGATGTTGGGGCTTCGAGAACGAGACGTGGTGGAGGTCAAAGGATGTGCTGGCAAAGAAGGGCGCATCGTTTGGTTGCGAAAGAAGGCCAGTAAATCCACGGTGCACAGTGTTGTGTTGCGCTCTGTACACGCCGAAGGCAGCGACGTGGTCGTGCTGGACGACACAAACGGCAACGGCTCGGAGATGTACGCCTTGAGCGGCCTAGAGTAACGTGCTAGCTTAAGTGGAAGAGTGACAGGATGTACATGATAGCCACGTTGAGAAACATGATCCCACTCAAGACGACGGACCGCTTGTTCCAGCGCACTTCGGTGCGTGTCGGCGTGACGGAGACGGGCACGACGGATGCGTAGCTCATTTGGTTTCTCGGGTCCGTGTTGACGCGTCCGGAAAGGCGCAGAAACGCCCGCCACTTCCAAAACCGTGCGCGGTGGACCCAAGAGCTGACCCAAGCATGTGACTTGTCACCTGAAGTGCTCGTGTCGCTGGTGCTCCAAGCACCAGTGAAGAGAATGTTGTGATCCTTCGAGTCCTATCTGTCGCCATTGCAGAATACTTTGTTGCCTGTGCTAGTGTCGGGCCAGTTGGGCTCGTGTCTGCTATGTAGTTGATGGGCGTCAACATGGCATGCCCTTGCGGCATTGCGCCACGGCCGGAATATCGCGTCCACTGCAGCTGGACGATTAGCGCGCTGAACGTCAGCAACGCAGTGAGCATGATCTTGCTGTGCAGGTGGTCGATCACTTGTTAGAGAGCGACGCAGGGGTATACACATGCATTTTTCGTATTCTCTCTGGGTCGAATGTACAGTTTGTCGCCGACCGTACTTGTATCGACTTTTCACGTGTAGTAGGGCGAGTACGGGCGCTGGGTCAGCGCCATCTCGTGCAAGTACTTGAAGCTCGAGTGGCGCACAATGCGATTTTTGTCGATCGACACAACGCGGACGGTGCCGATCGCGCGGCTAAAGAACGTCCGCAGAAATTTCGTTGGAATGAAGCGGTAGACGAGTTCGTATTGGACATTGGACGTGCGCGTGAGCACGGCGTCCGAGACTTGGAGCATGTTCTTGACCAAGAGCACGCCATTGTCAATGCCAACATTGCCGTCGTCGGCCGTCACGAGGAGACCGTACGGCGACGTGAGGATGCTGGAAAAGTCGGTGATCTCAAGGTACTGGAGCACCGAGTTGGTTGCGGGTATAGTGTAGGCTTTGTGCGCTCTGGCCATGTAGGCCGAGTGCGCGTAGACGCAGAGAATTGCGACCAAGATGACGCCGCCGGACGCGACGGCCGAGAGATAGTACGTGTGGTCGATCGCATCAAAGCTAAAGCAGTTGCTCGACGTCGCATACCCGCACCGTCCTGGCACCGTCTTGCTCATTTCTGGAAACACAAATGCTTCGAGTACAAAGACCAGAACCCAGTTGACGATGCTAAACGCCGCTAGCAGCCACGTCTGCGTCACCAGGCGTGGGTTGAACCACATCTGGATGAGCGGACCAGTCATGATACCGACCACCGATGCGAGTTGCGCGGGGCCAAGCCACTTGTAGTACACGGGCGTCGCGGCGCTCGGCCGCTTGTACAAGTACGTCGTGAGCGTCTGAAGGTTGGCGTTGCCGTAAAAGCTCACAAAGAGGATCGCGAGGTCCACAACCGTCTTGGACATGTAGACGCACACGCTGCAGACGACGCTGTGCCGCAGAAACATGAGCTGCAGCGCCACAAGGTACGCTGTCAGCAGCCAAAGCACGACGCTGTTGGTCAACATGAGGGCGTCGCTCTCCCAGACCATTGTCACCAGTCCTTGGGTATGGAGCAGCCAGCCAAGACCCGTGTCCGTGTTCAGCGCCGCGCAACTCGACTCTGGCAGCACGTCCCACGGCGCGAGCGTCCGGAGAATGCCACGCTGGTACTCGTCGTAGAACGTCAAGGTCGTGAGCCGCATCGCGGTGGCTCCGCTGCGAAACGTTGCGAGGTAGCCGGGGTTCAAGTAGACGTCACTGCGGGGAGCGACGCCCAGGTACGTGGCCTTGCCTTGGCTCGCGCGGATCGCGTACGTGTTGGCGTCCAAAGCAGCGTCGTTCTCGCAGATCCATTTCGGGTCAAACTTGCGCATCGAGCAAAACGCGATCGAGTCGACCTCGGCCGTCGACGGCGGCGCCGACGACCGGTAGAAGGTCGCTCGCTTGATCATGCACGTGATGGCCATGTCGTGGCCTGGAATCGAGATCTGCGCCATCGGTTTGTTCCAGCCACTCAGGTTGTTGATGTGCTGGACCGTGACCGTCTGCGTCGGGTCTGCGAAGAGCGGGTCGTCCAAATCTGGGATGAGCGCGAGGGTTTTGGCCACGTGACCCCACAGTTGGTCGCTCGTGCTCTGAAATCCGTTGGCACACGTCGTGTTGCGCTTGCTGCACGCCGCGTACACGAGCGTGGTCAGCGAGAGCTTGGCTTCGAAAGGCAGTGGAGCCGAGAGCTGCAACGTCGTCGTCCCTTGCAGCAGCACGGTGATGGGGATCGCAAACTTGTTGGTCGTGTACGTAGCCACGTTGAGGCCCATAAATACCGACGTGTTGGCGAGCGTACTGAGCTGGTACGTCGTGACAGCAACAAGCGATGCAAATGCAAAGTAGAGCAGTGAGAGCAAAACGCCTTGTCGGACAAAGCGCCGCGCCTTGTGCGCAGGCTTCACTTGCATGTCCATCGCGCTCTGGGTTCCGTTTCTGATGGCCTGCAAATTCGTTTCTGAATCAAAAACCAGCCCTTGAACTAAAATAGATGGCGTTCAACTGCCGATATGCGGCGCGGTGTGGGATCTGAAGATAGAGTGGGCGACGTTTGGGTAAAAACCATCTTTGGCGTTGCGAAACCATTCTCATTTTAGTTGACAGTTCCAATTGATTTGCATATATACCATCCGTTTCAGCAGTCGCGCTTGTTGCCAGCCAAGGGGCTTGTTGCCAGCAAAGTGGGCAAAGGAGGCTGAGTACCTCGCCTGCTATGGGTTGGCGAGGCAGGTCGAGTAGCAGGCCGCAGCCAATTTCAAAGTGTGTTGAGGTTTGGCTGGCCTCTGCCTGCTCCTCCAAAATACT